CCCAGCAAAAAAACTGTCCACTGCTGGACATAAGCCTTTCCCATGAGGGAGGTTTACCAGTAGTTGTTTTGCCACACTTGGCACGCGGGTTGGCAACCGCAGTTAGGTTTTTAGAGATATTTTAAGAGGGATGCTGCTGTATATCTTAAAGGTAAATTCCAAAAGATGTCCATACATTAATCCTTATAAGCTGTTAACAGTATAACTGCAACCCACCTGCCAAGCATGGCAACTAACTTGCTTTCATCCTCACCTATCATCCCTCACTGGTGCCCCGCCAGTGTATACAGATAGCTTAGGTTTACCATTTCATCTTTATGCATATAAAAAAAAAAAAAAAATTATTATAAACTCACCAGGCTGTGATAGAACTGGCTTATTGACCAGAATCGGGCTGGCAACAGCCTTTGGGGTGACACTGCAACAAACAATAGTAAATTAAGTATAATTAAGATTTAGCAGAGGGAGATTTTGTACAAAAGTGGATTGCTTGCACGTGTCTATCCCATTCGTGTTTCTACCGTGAAGCAGTTGTGTTTCGGTTTGTCCTGTAAATTCACACCATATACCACCCTTCAAACCGAAACACAGCCGTACAAACACAACTGCTTCACGGTAGAAACACGAATGAAACAGAGGTACCCAAGCAATCTACAAAGTCTCCCTCTGGCAAAGTTCTTAAGTATGTCATTATTTAGTTGTTTACAATGACTTGATAAGTTTAAATACTAAGATAAGAGTGAAAAATTTAAACTGCTTCCTACATATATAGGTATTATTAACCACACAATTAATATAGAAATTATGTACGTTTGCAGTATTGTACAGATAAATTGTAAAAAAATAATTTAAATGTAAAGTACATAAGAAACTAAAAATCAGCATTTGTATAAAAATAGAAAATAAAATATATAAAAATCAATAATGCTTTTATACTTTATGACTTTCTATGACAGACATGAGCTGTATAGATGGAACACTTTGCCTTTCTTTCCCTTTGGGATAAACAGAATAAAAAAAAAAACTGCAACTGTCAATAGATAATAGAGGACAAAATAAAATGTTTATGTTTAAATTCCACCTAAGAATTGACTGAAATTATAATAATTATATCAATTACGATAAAATCAATTTATAAGATATAAATGATAATACTTTTTGTTGTATACAAGTAATGCATTTTATCAATTGTAAAATTCAAAATTTAAAATCCATAGACTTTTATAGGAAAATCAATAGAACGCTCACCTATTTGAGAGCTTCACAAGGATGGGACGTAAATATTATGGGTAAACTCTGAGTATATAAGTTAAAAGCAAACGTAGCAATATGACACCTTGAAAACTGTAGGAAAGTGGTAAAAACTGGATATTTACGAGATACGCGGTCGGCGTGCCGGTCTCACGTGGACATTAGCCGCTTTGAGCCTCCTAGCGAGCTCCCTGTACGTTTGGGGATCTGCTTGTATCTCAACTTCAGCTTTCAGGAGCGAAAACTTCATCCGCCAGCCCCTGGCCTCAACGCCGTGCACCAGCCGGGCTCGGAGCGTCACGCCGCGCCCCAAATGCCGCGCACTAAGTCTTTGCTCGAACACGAGCATCTTACTCGTCAGCTGTAGTCCTGCCTCGTCAGGTTGAAAAAGAGGAAGGCTCCAGAACCGACGCGGAAGTGACGGCCTCTCGCAACCACCATAGCTGGTGTACAAACCGCTTCAACAACCATTGGACAGGTCTCCCGGGAGAAACTAAGCAACACTCGGTATCAGATGCCACTACGGTCTCTCTTTTCACTTATCCAACATTATTTAGTTCCGTTCCGAGTCGAAACTACGGAGTTTGATTTCAAATATCACTTGTTAACACAATACGCACGACACAATTTAATTAAAGCAAGCGCTCAGGAAAACACCGGTTTGTGGCCGAACGGGAAATTTTCAGATAATCAGAGCAATATTATTAAAAATAGAAACAAAATGTAAAACGATCGATGCGAGCGCGAGTGAGCGACTGAGCAAGATGGCCGCTGATTGGTCGGTCGCGGAGAGCGATTCTCGATTGGATCAAAACTGGTTGTAATCGGTTCGCAGAGGCCGCGGCCGGCTCGCGTCGGTCGATGCATCGCAGCGGGAACGTAGTTATAGTGATTGACACGACTAACTTTCCATTATATCGAGTCGATAATTTGTGTGTTAAAAAAATTGTACTATCAACTTAAACATTTTTAATATAAAAACTGTGAAACAGTAGACATACTAAAACAGAATATTGTGGATTTTGGCCAATTAAGCACATATTTGTTGACAAATTAGTAATCAATCTAGGTCCATATTTGAGTCGTTAATTGAAACTAGATTTTCAGTTTTAACATATTTAGGTAACATCCACAAAAAGATTGCCGAATGCATTGTTTATAAATATAGGATTTTATAATTATATATTTCATCACTATTTATTCCTGCATTAATTTACTGCTAATTATTTTTTACTGCATATATTTTTTAGATAAATACATCTATTTACGACAAGAGTATTGCAATTATTATAGTATTTAATTAAAGAATAACATAAAAAAAGAGAACGACTGACAGATCAGAGTATCACGCGAGTATATAATTTCCTTTATTTATAAGGTAAAGAAACAATATCAAGGAATTTCCAGAAATTTCTACGTGGATCGAAGGCTTATTCAGAACGTGCTGTTATACCATTTCATAAAATGGGTCTGGGCATTGCTATGTTCCCTTTATGCTGAATAGGCAATAATGATTATTCCCAAGAACACAGGTGGTCTACGTGTGAGATTACGCCCGCTCCATCCTTTGTTTCGTTCACACGTTGTATTGTGTACTTAAATAAAAGTTTATAAATAAACAAAAATAAAGATAAAATAAAGATTGCGTTTTTTAGAAAAACATATCTATTTTGTGTCATACAACAATATTTATTGCGTTGCTGCGACAAACAGTTCAATTTTCTTATAAAAATACAAAGTTAGAGTGTAATAAATCATACATACATACATACATACACATCTGTCACGCCTGTCTCCGATTAGGGTAGGCAGAAACAATGGAACGCCAAATGCTTCGATTCAAACAAACCTTTCTCTTCTTCTTCTTTGTAATAAATCATCCCTTATAAGTTATAGATATAAGTACAGTCACATCTTAATCAAGGTTAAAAATTATTTAGACCTTCATTTAGATATTTACAGCTGATTGAAACTAGCAGTTTTATTTTCATTTGTTGATAATCACTTCGCTTATTTTCTATACCAACAATTTTATTTAACTTTAAAAAAATTGGCTTTTGTCTCTTACTCTGTAATAGACAGTAATTACTTTATTTTTAAAACTATAGATCCTTTGCTGCGATAAAATTGAAATTCGCTGTTTCTATTATTTTGTATATGTAGATTGAGCCACTAGCTACTTCAGTAACACCTTTACAAAAAATTTATTTGCTTCTTTATTTTTTATTTTTATACTATTTATTACCCGCGGCTTGGTCCGCACGACTTATCCATTCAACGTATAACCTACCATATACACCAAATTTCACTATGATTGGTTATTAAACCATTAAGGTGCCAAGAGATAATAAAGTAACAAACAAACTCACTTTCACGTTTATAATATTAGTTAATAATATCTACATATTAATTACACTTTATATAATTCACAGCATTGAATTAATAATGACTTACGCCAATCTAACCAGCCAGGACCTAAGACAACGTGGCGCTTCACCATTATAATCGTAAGACGTAATGTGTTACGTATTTCGGCGTACCAGTATGATAACAAATAAATTTATTATTGACGCCCAAACACGCTAAGACTAGAAACATACACACGTTCGTATTATTTGATTTAACAGAAAGCATTATTACAAATTGTTTTCGATAATATCCTTACTAATATTATAAATAAGAAAGGGATTTTTTTTAAAACAGTTTCGCGTTTCTATGACACCCCCCCCCCCCCTCTACACTGTCATTCCTGAGGACTCAGGTGTTATTCCTCTGTACCCTGTAAATTCACGCCATATCGCCACATCCTTCAAACCGAAACACAGCAATGCAAACACAACTGCTTCACGGTAGAAACACGAATGGGATAAAGATGGCCAAGCAAACGACTTTGTCCGTTTGTTTATTTTACTTTTTAATGTCTTAACAGTTTAATCAGTCACTATGAAATTTGGTATACACTTATTTAGGATGGAGAAGGATATAAACTACTTTATTCTCGGTGAGTACTTTACTTTTATACTTTAGCCACGCAGACGATGTCACAAATCAAAATTAGTTCAGTTCATAAAGACGTAAGTTTTATGTTTCGATTAAACACTAAAATACTCTTAATAACGACTAGAAATAAAAAAAATTGCATAAGCATCTATAAAATTCTATTGGGTTATCTAAAATGACCCTCGACTCATGTAGTGCAGACAACAAGCGAAATGGGAAACTTTGTTAAATAATTGCTTTAATATTGACTCTGCAGTCCTAATCACCAACAGCTGGTGGAAGAAGGGATTGTTAGTAACGCAGACTACCCGTCTCATTGCTAGCATTTTACTTTGTAAGGTCGACCTGCCCGTGGGGAACCAGGAAAATATCGTGCTGAATTCCAGGTTTATTCATCACGATGGGTTAACTGACCTGCCTTCTCATCCTCACCTATCATCTCTCATTGGTTAGCGCATGCAGGGTTACCATTCCATTATCATACATTAACAAACAAGTTTCTAAGCTTTCGTAGCCCTCCTTTTTTAAAAAGTCCAAACAAAGTTTTCAATTCTTCTGAATTTGTTTTTGTGATAATGTTACGTGATTAAATCACCAAATACACGACAAAAGCTGTTTCATGCGGAGTTAATTTGTAAACACAAAATTAATATTTCATCGGTTAACATGTGTGCTTGCGATTAAATTCGTTGTATTTAGAGCAAAATATATTTATTTTAAAAACAAATATATTTTGCTCTAAATAAAATTTTGTTTCACAAAAAAACGAAGTCTGTTTTTTGTGGAACAAAATTTTATATTACACATAAACGTACACACACACAAAACGGTTACTTCAATTTAAAAACTAAAATCTGAAACGATTTAGCTAAAAATCTATTTTTCTATTTAAACAATGTACATTACGTACATAACAAACATAAAAAATATATACTATCGAATTAAGTATTCCCTTATTTTTGGTAGTTGATTGCAAAGCAAATCAAAATAAAGTTGTTGACGTAAAAGATTATAAAAATATAATACGTCAGAATAAGATATCAGTATCAATACAGTTAATGAAGAAAATGTAATGCAAATTAAATAAAAATTCATAAATTTTCAATAACTTCACAAGTAACGTAAAACAGTCAAACAAATACCTGATCAATTAACAGACTACGTCAA